CAAAACTTCTCCCTGTGGTTGTGAAGGTATATTGATTGTATTTGACATGTAATTTAAGTTTTTCTTCCCCACATAATTTTGTTGAAAACATATTGAGTTCTGGGGGCTTAGGTGTATCACTTAGTATTTGCCATGTAAGGAACAAATCAAAACCCAAATGGCTTTAGAAACCCAGCCATTTTATTTTCTTGAAGTTTTAGGAATCCACATTTTGGTTGTGTTTAGCTGGGCAGTTCAGCTTTAGTCACCTGGTGCCTTGACTGAGGCTGGTTGGTTCAAGATGGCTTCATTCATATATCCAGTGGTTTGTGCTGACTCTTGGCTGGGGCCTCTGTCTCCAAAAGTTTAGCCCCAGGCTTCTTCACACTGTGATTATGTTTAAGAAGGCAAGCACCAGTGGCCAGTATTTGTCAAACTTATGTTTGCATGACATTTGTTAATGTGCTGTTGGCCCAAGCAAGTCACATAGCAAAGCTCAGTTCGTTGTCAGAGCATAATACATGAGGGTTTTGGTGTAGGGAGATCCATCACTGGGTAACGTTACTGGAATAATGTACCAAAAGAGATATATATAATGTACATTTTTTACCTATGTAATCATGGCCAAAAGATGTTGGGTTACCAAATGTGTACTATACAGATATTTAGGTATATATAAATGACATGTGTTGTAGTGGAGACACTGATCTGGAGTCGTGTGTGGAGACATTGTATTAATATGAAAATAGTTAATATAGCCTAACTCTATTTCTATAGCATTAGTTTTAGTAATGACACAATGTGTTTTTCTTTGTTTCAATGATTAAGTTGTATGTTTAGGTAAGGTTGATTCTTGCTAAATCAGTAGGTAATGTATGTTTTCATTAGCCCAAAAATAAATTATGTGTCTAATGTGTACTAATTAATGTACTTGCAGATGCATGTTTAATGGGTCTTTGTTGTGCCTTATTGACCATGTCTCACAGGGAGACTTTTTGTTTGTTTGTTTGTCTTTTCCAGCTAACGTGTAGAGAGTTTTGGGCAGAAGAATCCAGGGTCAAGCCACAACAGTTCTCTCCTTAAGCCACTCCATTCTGTCCTCTCCCAGCTATGCTGCCAGAGTGCACTATGTTTTTCCAAGAGCAAGAAAAGATGTATAAGTCTCCGGTGAGTTGTTTCTTTATTTATTCCTTATTTTTTTCACTGTATTACCTGGGTATTATGGGGAGCATGAATGAAAATGGAAAAGTAGAAATGAGTATGGCCAGCCTGTTGCTCACTCAGGAATGTGCAGTGCTGATAACACCAAGGCCCTGGGTTTGGATCCTGTGTAGGGATAGCCGCTTAGCTCACTGGTTGAGCATGGTGCTGACAATACCAGGGATCTTTAAAAAAAGAAAAAGAAAAGAAAAGAAATGAGTAAACCTCAGCTTGAAGGAAATGTACATATGTACGGTAAAGTTTGGATATGGATATAGAAGATATAACACTTCAGAGTCATCTAAGTTGAGTAGAAATTTGTCTCTGGTCTTTCAGCTGTCATGTCAAAAAGGCAGACACTTTTTTTGTATGATTGGAATGAAACCTGACAAGAGAATATGTCAAATTCTCATGGGATGTGAGCATTTATTGGCACTAAGTTCGGAAATACCATCTCTATTAGAAAGTTTTTCACTGCCAACCTGGAAATGAATGCATAGCTTTCCAGAGTGGAAATGTTTAGTGAGTGCTAAGGCACATGTTGCTGAATAAGCAGTCTATAAGGATTCATGTAATTTAAGGCTTTCTCACCCACATAATTTTGTTAAAACATACTGAGTTCTGGGGTCTTACATGTATCATTTAGCATTTGCTGTGTAAGAACAAATCAAAATGCAATTGTTTAAAATATCAGACCACTTTATTTTCTTGAAGTTCTGTGGATCCACATGTTGGGTATAGTCATTTGGGCAGTTCTCCTGCTAGCATTGCCTGGATGCAGCTTTCATCACCTTGTGCTGTGATTGAAGCTGTTGGTTCAGGATGGCTTCACTCACATGCCCTGTGGTTTGTGTACAGGTTTGGAGGACTGTTCTTGATTCATAGATAAAATGTGAAATTATCACTTAAATTACAGTGAAATCCAGTGCCTATTCTGTAGTCTTTTTCTAACTTGAATCTTCTGCCACATTTGAAACTGCTGTTCTTGATCTTCTCTTGGAAATTCTTCTGTGTTAGGTAGTTTCTCTTATGCCTTTACTGATGGTTTTCTCTCTTTTCCCTGAATTCTTCTCCTTTCTTCTTCTTAACATAGCTCATCACAGTGCTTCATTCTGGGTGCTGTTCTTCTCACTGTGCTCTTCTTCTGGACTGATTCATTCCTCTGTTGTTTGCACACTGGGTTCTCTTTAACTTCTTCCCTTTTCTCTTTCTTCCCTTTTTCTTGGATCACAGGTTGAACTCTCTGTTGACTGCTTTTTGTAGCTATTAAAAATGACCTTAAGGTCAATGAATCCAAAATGAAAAGTTGTCTACTTCTTTTCTCTTACATGTGGTACCATCCAGGCAGTGACCCAAGCCAGTGAAATGGGATGTTTCCTGGATGCTTCCCTGTTTCTTGTGTCTAATCCTTTGTGGTGTCCATTTTGTTTGCTTGTTCTTTTCATTTCATTCTAATTTCTATATACACTGCCTGTATAGGGGGAAGAGGTGTTGGTACTTATAAGGACAATAACTTTACTGATGGTTTTCTCTCTTTTCTTCAGAATTCTTCTTTCTTAACATAGCTCATCCAAGCGCTTCATTCTGGGTGCTATTCTTCTCACTATGCTCTTCTTCTTGACTGATTAAGTCCTCTTTAGTTTGCAGTCTTGGTTCTATTTAGCTTTTCCCCTTTTCTGTTTCTTCCCTTTTCCTTGGATCATAGGTTGAACTTGCTTTTGACTGCTTACCTTAAGGTCAATGAATCCAAAATGGAAATGACATCTATTTTTTTCTCTTACATGTGGTATCACTACCCTCCAGGCAGTGACCCAAGCCAGTGAAATGGGATGTTTCCTGGACTCTTCCCTGTTTCTTGTGTCTAATCCTTTGTGGTGTCAATTCTTGCTACTTTTGTTTGCTTGTTCTTTTCACATTATTCAGATTTCTGTATACACTGCCTATATAGGGGGAGGAGGTGTTGGTGCTTATAAAGACAGTAACTTTGTTCCATTGGAAATATTTTTGTAAAAACCTAAAGGGCATGTTTCCTGGTGATGAGGTTCAATCCCTGGTGACCTGGGCTTCTAACCAGCACCTGTGGTGACATCCTTAAGTGTCTGAGGGAAGAAAGCCTTCAGATGTTAGTGGGACACTGATGAAGAGCCAATAAAAAGGCATGCAGAGAACAAGAACAGAATTGCAGATTTTCATAATTTGTACATTTTGCTTCTATAAATTTATGTCAGTGATTCTATGTGTAGTTTTTCTTAGTGTACAGTTGTGTGTTTCTACTTCAAGAAGACTTGTCATGTTTTTAAATTTTCTTACATATTGTATTGCATTCTCCTATTTCAGGTAATCACTTAGAAATGAATGAGAAAAATGGATGTGTGCATTAGTCATCAGTATGTTTATAAACTAGAACCATAGCTAACAGTTGGTTAAGATAGAAAAGTGACAGACTAGTTAACTGAAAGTTGACATTCTCAATTAGAGTTTGAGATGTAACATAAGATGTGAAATGCTGGCTTTATTTTGGACCTAATGTTCAATGTGAACCTACATTCTTCCTGTTGCGTATCACAGTACTGCCTATGGTCTCTAATGACTTGTTTGGTGTTCCCATGATCAGCTGTGTAACAAAGTGACACAAAACTTAGTTGCTTAGAATAAGAATTTCTTCCTTACTCCATGTTGGAATGTTGTGGGTAAGTAGACTGTAAAAGGGAAGTGTGGGTTGACTGCTGCATGATGTGTCTGGTCTCATGTGGAAGAACACTAGTGGCTGGGGATATTGGGCAGACATCCAGCCCTCTCTTTATGGCCAGGCGGGCTTCCTCAGAGTCTGGCAGTCTCAGGGTAGTCAGGTTTTTCTGGCTTCTCCCTGGAAAAGTGTCCAAGAGGCCCAGGCAGAGGCTTTGAGGCTTCTGGTTATCTCTACTCAGATCCCAAAGCATGTCTCCCATCACATTTTCTTAGTCAAGCACATCACTAAGAGCAGCGCTGATTGAAGAGGAAGGCAATTAGATTCCATCTCTCAATAAGAGGAATAGTAAGACTTTGCAGCAGTCTTTAATAGACCACAGTTGGCTCTCTGGCCATAAATTTCTACCACATGCAAGATATACTTTCACCCTCTCAAGAGCCCTAGAAACCTTCTACTGTTATACAATTGGCTGAAAACCCAACTAAATCATGTCCAGTAGCCTGTTACCTTCATCTCCTCAACATGTGGCCAGTTCACAGTGAGGAGAATGGCATAAACATGTGGGCACTTCCCTTCAGACAGTAGGGTGGCAAGGAGTGGCACCCTGCAGGCACTGGTCTGAGCAGTTAGTTATGCCCATTGAGCACCTGGTTTAGTTCTTCAATTAGGGTGCCATGTTTGTCTCTGGAAACAATGCCTCCTGCTTCTGCACTGTGCTCTCTGGGCTCTCACTACTCTCTGTCAACATCCATTTGTCTTAAATGCCTGAGTTTGCAGTTGACCAATTTCTTTGCCTATTTTCAGGTTATAATAGTTGAAAATCCAATGACCCTTTTAAAATTTTTTTTCTAATTCTGCCCTTTTGATACTAGAAATTACCCTGTTTTACATCTTTAAAAAGCATTGGCTTCCATTGTACTATAATTCATTATATCAATGCTACCTTTTTGTTAGGCCCTTTTTTCTCTGGCCACCCCTTCTCCTGGAGGCAGCTATTACTTAAGAAGTTTCATTGTTTATCAGGCACTGTCTATGTATCACACCCTGTGGTACTTAGAATACTGGAAGTATATATATATATTATATATATATATATATATATATATATTTTTTTTTTATAACAAAATACTGTGATTCTTGGCACAAAGGAGTTTGTGTCTTGGAAAAAAGTTGGATTGGAAAGTAGTTTTCTTTCAAACTCAGCAAGTTCTGGCTCCTTTACATTTTCTTTAAATTTTGTTTGAAAATTGAACATATTTCTTTGTTTCATTGTTATTTATTTATTTATTGATGCATGGCCTATGGGCGGATTCAAACCCTTGACCTTGGTGTTATCAAAACTGTGCTCTGACCATCTTAGTGATCTGGCAAGCCAGCCACCTTTAATTTATCTCTCTTCTCATATTTTCTCAGTGACAGAGATAGGAGACCAGGTAGCACTTTTCCCATTGTTCACAGAATTCTCCTTTGGCAGACCCCTGAGAGGTTGAGATATCCTTTCCATTTTCCGTGCTATGGTAAGCAGTAGTGTGGCCCACATCCTTCAGTGCTCCATGTATTTCTGGTAATATATTTCATGCTGAATATTCTTTTGGCTAGTGTTAATATTTCCACTTAAGCTTTTCATAGTTAGTGTTTGTGTAGTAGTTTATTTTTACTTTTATTTTTATTTTTTACTTTTCAGTCTGTGTCATTGTGTTTAAAGTGTATGTCTCTGGATAGCATATCATTGGGTCTCTCTTATCAAATCTGATAGTTTTTGCCTTCAGTAGAATATTTAGACTAATTCCATTTAATCTAATTATTGAAAGTGATAGGTTTAGGTCTGCCATTTTGCTGTTTTGTTGTTGTCATCTTGTCTGCCTTTTAATCATTTGCTTTTCCTCTTTTCTTTTCCTAGATTATTTTTTCAGTTAGTCACATATTTTTAAATATTTTAGTTTGTTGCAGGAATTAGTTTTTAAAATATTTATTTTAATTTTAGTTTTGGTAAAGAAAAATACACATAGCAAAAAATTTAGCATTTGAACTAGTTTTTATCTTTAAGTAGTGTTATGTATGTTTGCATTGATGTGCAGGAGATCTCCAGAACTTTTTTGTCTTGGAATATTGAAGCTCTATATCCATTAAATGACAACCCTCAATTTTTCCCACCTTGTGGCTTCTGACATCTGACATTCTAGTTCGGTTTCTCAAAATTTGTCCCATATCAGTGGGACCATACCATTCTTGTTATCTTGTGAGTGGCTCCTTTCACTTTGCATAATGTCCTCACCGT